TACGGAAAATTTCGCCAAGTCTCTATCACCACCTGGACCTTCTACATCTACGCTTCAGCGTCAAATGCTTATAGAATAAGGTCATATATTTTGGGGCGCAACGAAAGCGCATACTCAGGGTATTGCAGCGTCGAGTTAGAGGATACTCCAGGTATTCCACTAACCGCATCATTAACAAATAAACTGAATGCACCTGAAGTATCAGCTGACTATAGCGAGGAAGTTTTAGATGAAGAAATAGATGAGCTCGAGTATGACGGGCTGGAAGGTTTGGCCAGGATGAGAGGTTAAAAAGTTCCTCAAATGAAAAATCTAAAAAACTACTTTTCAGGTCACGGATGTTCTTCTGGATCAAATTACTGAATAAACGTTTGTAAGATCAGAAACATCATAGAAGCAAATGGCGAAAAATTGTTGCATAGACTAAGTCATTTCCATTTATTGTTATATCGCCAGCTTACTGCAAAAAGAAAATAACTCCATTTTTCTACTTTTTGAGTTGCGTACATTTTCACACTTACATGTACTTAGGATGTTCTGTGAAATAAGGATAAATGTAGTGCAGTATCGACGTCATGAGCATGTTAATCCTGCTCCACAGAACATACTAAAATATAGGTAATGTAGAAAAATGGATATATCTTGTTTTTACAGTAAAGTGTATTACAAGGTTGGGTTGAAATCCTTTATTTAAATCCGCCATTTTGCTTTGTATGAAATTTTAATGTAGCGTGTGACACTTGCATCGCTAAAACGAATCCAACGACACATCATATGTGAAAATCCACCCAGCCGTGTGGCCTGTAGGTGAAAATATGTACGTTATATAAACCAACCCAAATGAGAATCACTCTCAGTGTGACGTCATGCGCTCCGGCGGCCGAAAATTGAACAGCGGAGCATCCGGCACTGCATCTATGCTCAGTTCGAGCGCAGTGTTTGGAATAAGTCTACGGAGACAATTCTCTGGAGGAACCAACCGTCAGCAAGTGGTTGAAAAGGTTTCGGAAAGGCCGAGAAGATGCGAACTTCTTCATGTTCCCAGACTGCAAAATGGTGCTTCGAGGCGGCACTTGGGGGATGTGGAAACCATCAAGCCAGAATGAAGAACCTCACAATAGAAGCGATCGTATCAACAGTGGAAACAGCATTGGCAGAAGTGTATCTTGTCTCGGGGGGAGGACTTTGAAGGAGACTATATTGAAATACCTGAAAGATTGTAAAATAAAGTTATTATCCACTTTTATACGTATTTTACGGACAAACCTTATATTTTAGATACTGCACTCAATTTGTATGTGAATATCGCGTATTTGCGCCGTCAAGTGTCAACCTACTTAACGGGGCTCCTACAATCACGAGCACCGTCTGCTGAGGTAACGGGGGGGGGGGTGAAAAGGAAACGAGGGTGGGTTGGGCCTAGACGGTCGTCGGCGCTACTTTAAAAGAGCAAAGGATGACTGCGGGTGCATACCAAGGTAAATTTTTATAATAACAGAGTCGGATTTCGATTAGTGATCTAGAAGTCTGCTGTTGGCTTTTTGTGTCAAATCTATAGAGCAGGTACCGATTTTTTCAAATCGTGAGCACATTATTCGTCGGATTTTACGTTACTTAAATTTCCTGTAATCACTGGGATCAGAAGCTTCTTAATAATAGAACGTGTTTCACTGATATCAAAGATGCAACATTCACCTGCCCTACTGTTTTAGCAGTAGAATTTTTTTCTGTCAATGATAAGAAACCTCTGTAACGTCAAAAACGGAGTTTCAGCAATTGTTACTTTTTCTTTTTTGCTACAAAGCTTTGGCATATTTACTAGTAACCCCGTGTGGAAATTTCATAAAAATTCGAGCGGTTATTTCCAAGCTGATGAGTGATTCAGTTTTTCGTGATGTAGATGTCATATGACTTAAAAAACATAACATCTCATTTTAGAAATTTTTCGCGATTACAATACTTCCTCGCCAATAACGTGGGTAGTAAAACGGCTTTAAAATCGAGGAGTATCAGCGATCGCAATTATGAGTACCTATTTGCAGAACGACTTATCTACGCGATATTATATGAAATAGGGCCACCAAATTATCTGAATACGTCCTTTCTTAGTCCGTACGTTGCGTCGCAACGCTTGGGTTGGCAGCACGAAACAGTAGACTAAATTCGTCCAAAATACGATTTGTAGAGGTTTGCGCGCTTCGAAATGAACGCTTTATTTTTTGATATTTTTGGATGAAATTTTCATAGAGTGCTGAAAACAAAACCCCACAGGGTGCTATGGAGCCACTTTTTCATTTTTTTCACTAGGTTCTTTTTAAACAGATCGCGAAGTTGAATCGAAAAAGTACGCACTTCAACCCATCATAAAACTTGTGCAAAAACAAAATTTCAAAAAGTGCTCCTATAGCACCCTGGGCAATTATCTTCTTAAGATACGGTATGAATTTCATTCAATAGTATTGAAAAATGGAGTGTCAGTGTTGAAGCAGTTGAACCGTTGTAAATGGCTTGAAGCTGCCTGCGTCGGAGCCACCTTAACGCCAGTTTTGCTTCTAATCACCAAGTATTTTCATTTATACTGTGTTCACAATAACCTGCTTGATTGAAATGGGCCGTTCTACGGTGTAATCAAATCCTGGATGATAAGTTCGCCGGACCATCTCAAGACAAAGATAATAAAAACATACAAAGTAAGCCATAATTGCAGTCCCAACGTGCTGGAATGGCCTGGTTATAAATAAGCCAATTTAACTGTTAAGGCCTTATCGTTTTTTTCGATATTTTATGACGTCAATTAAATATCTATTTGAATTTAATTTTAGCGTGCATCTCTCCTAGTAATTTATTATGCAAATGAAATGGTACTTAAAATAGACATGTGCAAGAAGAGTCTCGGTCTATGTATAATACGAAAATACTGTATAATTTCCATAATTACACAGGATAGAGGATACTTTCCGATGGTATGCGCAAACAGGTAATCCTGAGAATTTGCCTCCACATTATATTCATATTTTCTTTTTTCCTTGAGATCATTTTCCTGTGACCTTTCTCAATATACTATTAAATTTGCAGGTCGTAAACACCGTCGATAATTGTTCAGTCCAGCTGAAGAGTACTGCCGGTAAGGAGTATTCCGTGAGGAGAGCGTAACGCCTTTATTCTTTGTTCATAGACTGGTTCACATTGGGCACTTTATTTCAGACGCAACATATCGTCCACAAATTCACGAAGAGGCGAATATGAAAAAATCGCTAGTTTTGGCTTATATGGTGGTTGAATAGTATCTACGTCTATCTATGACCTCTCGAAGTGGCGAATATGTATGTCAAATATTTCAGATAATATTTGATTTTTTAATTTAGGCCGATGTATAAAATGAAAATGTCTAGCTCTTTTAAACAGGCGTATTTTATATTCGCCTCTTTGTAAACCCAGCTTAATATTGCAGCATGTGGGCGAATGTCAATATTTGCCAGTTCGGGGAATTACCCGGTCTGTATTTTAACCTAAAAATTGGTTGCTTGCGTTGTTAAGTTTATAGTAGTTGTTTTGCTGTTGCTTTAAGTGTTTTGCCGTGTTTTTTCTCCGAAAATGGTTGCGTTAGCGTTGTGGAAAGACGGCTCTAAAAATGTAGTAGATATAAAAGATCTAGTTGGTGTGGATACCTCGAATAATATTCTGAAAACAGGATGCAAAGTGAAAATGAACTATAGGCAACGATGGTATAATGGCAAAATTCTTGATATCGAAGAAAAAGGTAGTTATTAAACATAATTATGTTTATAAATTATACTTGTATACAATATATTTAGTTTCCTTACTAAAACAATGCTTTTACTCTTTTTTGGAAATAAGTCATTCGTCGAAAGGTTGCTTTGATGAGACTGATGATAACATATCACTTTCAATCCTAAAGAAAAGTTGTACCGAAACGAAATATTTATCGAGAGATTGCTGGGATGAGACTGATGATATTCCACTCTCACTTTTAAAGGAAAGTTTTATTAAAAATGGCAACGATGTTTCAAGTTCACCCTCGCATCAATCAAAAACACCTAAAATTAATATTATTTCGAATATATTATGCATTAATAAACCAGGTAAGCAGCGGGACACATAATCATGTTATTTTAATACCTATAAATAAAAACTGAAAGGTGATTTTTTTTAGATCCTAAAACAGATATTAAGGATATACCTATGTGCCTGGATGATTCTGATGACTCAAGGCTTGACCAAAACTTCGTAATTGATTGTGAGTTTAAACGTTTCAACCAAAAAGGTGAACAGCTTTGCGGTTGCGGATTCTGGCTTTGCAATCGGAATTACTTTAGTGAAATTTGTACTGTTCAGAATACAGCGGATTCAGACTCAGGAGGGATTGCCAAAGCAATACGAAAAAAAGATAATAGCAAAGTTTCTAAGGCTATAGACCATGAAGAACACTTACAGCAGCATTGCGAGTTTATTGGATGCATAGAAGAAGTCTGGGCTGCCTGTCACATGTGCACAGCACTACTTTGTTGAAATCACTTCGAGGAAAATGTAGGTTGCAATAAACATAAACTATGTACTAACTACTTTAATAATACCAATAATAATAATAATTTTCCCGTGACCACAGAAATTTCCGAACGGAAGTCTAAACCAGAAGATTTTAAAGTTGAAGGTGGTGAAACAGAGATACCCCTTAAGAAGAAGAAAGTCGAAATGCATATCTAAAAGAAGTTAAGAAAAGGAAACTCGCTGGCAAAGAGTACACAATTTTTAATACGATGAATTTAGTCGCTCCAAAATTATTTAAACCAGCTTGTTCTAGCGATTACTGCAAGAAATTTGGAAAAAATGTCATTTATTTACAAAAGACCAGCGCCAAGAAATTATGACTGATTTTTATTCACTTAGGAGCCTAGATCTTCAAAGGCAATACATATGTAGTTTAATAGAAATTAGTTTTTCCAAAATTCAGAAGACTAATTCCAGAAAGGCTAAGAGAAATGATTATTTCTTACCCTATTTTGGGGAAAAACTGTCAGTATGTAAAGTTCTTTTTCAAATACTCTAAGTATATCAGAAAAAGTTATGAGAACGTCTATGGAAAAAAGAAACCAAGTGGTGTAGTTGAAAAAGAAGGTAGAGGTGGAAGATCAGAAGCAATGAAAAAGCGAGATATTAAAACAGTTCTACAGCATATAAATAGATATCCCAGGGTTGAGTCCCATTATTGTAGACAGAAATCTTCCAAGGAGTACCTATCACCACAACTTTCTATTACCAAAATGTTTGACATGTACTTGAAAGAATATGAACACAAAGATCCTGCTAGTTTCAACTCATACAGAATATCATTTAAATCTTTAAATGTTTCAGTGCATAAACCCAAAAAGACCAATGCACTTCGTGCAATACCTATTATAGCGCTGACGAAATTACTAAAAGCAATATTAAACAGACTTATGAGAAGCACCAAAATGAAAAGAAAAAAGTTGGAGAAATTAAAAAAAAAGTAAGCAAAAGGCAATGGAAAACATTAGTGCTGTGTTCGATCTTCAACAGGTTATTCAGTTAAGAATTACCCAGGAAAGCGCATTATTTTATAAGCAGCGTCTAAGTTTTTATAATTTCACGATATATGAATTACCGAACAAAGACTGTTATTGCTATACTTGGGATAAAACGAAAAGTAAAAGGGGGACTGCCGAAATCTCTTCTTGTATGTTTCGTTTTTTGCTAATTTGTGACGAAAAGGGCGCCGAATCGGTGGATCTTTCTTCTGATGGCTGTTTCGGCCAAAACAAAAATTCTGTATTGCCCGCAATGTTCTTGTTTTTCTTAAAAACTAGCAGGAACGTTAAGACGATTGTTCATTACTTTTTTGTCTGCCACGGACAAAGTGAGGGAGATAAGCAGAGCTATAAAAGCGGCCGGAGACTTGTTTGTACCTAGTCAGATTATTCCCATAATTAAACTGGCAAGAAAAAACATCCTTATAATGGACTATGATGATTTTTTAAACTTTAAAAAGCTTTCGCAGGATTTGAGAATCCTTTCCTTGAGAAAAGCGCAAGATGACGAAACAATTGACGTTAACTGAACCAAAATGCTTAACATAATGGTAACTAAAAGTCATATTAACTAAATATTTTTTAAAACCAGCCACTTTGCGGATACTTTTAGTTCCATAGAATTGCCACGAAATGTAGATCTGTTTAAAGTAACGGTTGACAAGTTGAATAAAGGACTTCAAAAAGTTCCTCAAAAAAAAAATTAACTCTTTGATACTATTATGTCAGGGAGTCAACCCCGTTATCATCCTACTGGTACATATTATGTATCAGTAGGATGACACCCGTATCTTTAAAACTTAAAAATTAAACTACTTTTGTGGTTGTCAAAGGCATTTTTGGAGTGAGCAAGGCAGAGCCGCCTAGGTAGGGATTCCCGCTTCCGGACGCCCAAAATGTATATGTCGGCGTCAAACGTCATTTCCTGAAATGCCTAGTCAGTCCTCGTATTGCCGGCAAATACCGTAACAGTTTGATCATTACAACGTTTAACTTAGCGTTTCAGTTATTCCCTGTAATGACTGAACAATTTCAGTCAAACACCGTAACAACCACATTAACTTCATTACTCCATTTGCCTGATTCATACATTGTACCAGTTTTGTGATCATTTGCTTGGGTATACACATCGTCTTGTTTTACAAGTGTGTGTGACAGTGTGAATAAGAAGAGCAGCAACATCTAGGGTAGAGCTAGCCATCCTCCAACAGTTGTCGGCGGATTAAAAAGACTGGCAGGGAATATTGCCTTTCATTCTCCAATTCAACAAAGATTTGAATCTTTTAAATTTAATGCGGGATCGCTTTATAGGTATAACTGTTACTCATAACAGCGTTTACAGGCAACCGAACAAAATTATGTCGGTAAACAAACAATAAATTATTTATAACATGTCAAGTTTATCAATCTGACATTTATGTAAATTTATCAGGAGAAGCAACTATAGATTTGAACCAGTGACGTGCCAATTCTTAGCTTTTATAGCCGCTTCCAGGTGAGAAATCTGGATGTAGATACTCTACCAAACTGCCTTGTGTAGCTAGGTTGTCATCCAAAGCTAGTATCTAACTTATTTCTGCAGCTCAATTCTAGTTTCCACAAAATTTCCGCATTTGGGATCAGAGAATACAGATCTTACCGAGAAGAATCCAATGCATCCACAACAAATGATTCTTAGACTTTTTGTCAGGTGGCGGCAAGGGCACAGCGGTTGTCGCAGCCTTTATGCTTTTGAGAGAAATGAAGAGCGGGGGAGAGGGGTGGCGGCTGCTTGCTTAAGTACTTGAGCAGCCCTTCTTAGACCAACTCCCCTTATGACAATTGAAGAGTGGGAATTCTCACGATTCAAGGTCTAGCAAGAATAGTAATAGTAATATCTACCATTTTCTTGAAAAGAAAATAGCAGTTTTGGACGTCGTTATTGATCATTTTTCATTTTTCACTTGATGGTGAATGTTACAGTGCAGCTTTCAAAACATCTGGGAATTCGTACTTGGATTCTAAAGTTTATACGCTACTGTGTCAGACTCGCAAGCGAATGCAGAAAAACCGCACGTCAGACTCATTTCATTAGAGGAAGAGGAGGTTTTTAAGAGTATTGCGCGACAGTCTGACAGATCAGCGAAGATATCAACACTGAAGGAGCCAAAATGCACACCGGGGAGCAACTTGCCCTACAGCTAATGTAAGAGGCGAACCTTTACCGATTTAGAAAACTGAATAATTAGCTGAAATTCTGATGTCAAATGAACCCCTCGGAGCTGCGATTTGATTCCATTGAACTATTTTATGTGGAAAGACGCAATAAATGTTATGCTTACCACTGACAAAGAACGGAGGTCTTGAAATACAAAATCGAAACAGCTATTTAAGAAGTGCAATCCCAAGCAATGAATAATGAATTTGAAAATTGAACGATATTGTATTTCATTCTTAAATGTCAAGGTTCGGCCTTTCCAGTAAAACCAGACAATTGAAAAGATTTCAATGTTTTTTATGATCGACTCAAAGTCCAAATTTTGCATGTAGAAAAATACAGTCATGGTCAGGTACCAAAACAGATAATCACTGCTAACGCGATATTTTTTGCTATCGCATCAATTTTGCGTGTACAGAGATACGCCACGCCGCCTTAACAGTTGTGCATCACATGTACCTTGAATTGTCCAGCATTTGATAACGGATGCAATTTGGGAATAAGGAAATTATTCTATATACCATACCATATCATAAGAAAAAGGTAAAAGTCCAAAGTACTGAAACTGAAACGGATCAGCCGAATAATAATAACAATAATAATGTTTATTTGCGACATACAGTTAGGTGAAAATAGTAGCAAAATACATTTATATGAGATATGTTACAAAAAAGGGCTGAAGACATTTAAAAATGATACAAGTTCAGCCTTTTACCTATTACACATTCATATATATATATATATACATACATACATCTATATATATACATATACAAATATAAAAAGAAAGATCTACCTTAGAAAGCCTCGAATAATAGAAATAATAGAGTTATAGAACAAAAAAAATTCTTATTCATTAGTTTGGTCGTGTGTTTTTCAAAAATAATTTTTATGTATTTGATTTTAAACTGGTCTGGATGCAGAATTTTAAAGTCATTAGGAATTTGATTGTAAAGCCGGTAAATGTTGTATGAGAAAGATCTACAAAAAAGAGAAGTTTGATGAGAAGGAGGTGATATGTAGCCCCGAAACCGCAAATTTAAGTTATGAACATCGATGCGAAAAGTTATTCTATTGAATAAATATGGTGGTTGCTTAGAACACATAATTTTGTGAAAAAGATTAAATACATGCAACTCACATCGACATCGCATATGCAACCAGTTTGCATCAAGCAACTTATGTGAAACTCTTTCAAACTTACGTATACCACAAATAAATCGTAGGCAGGACTTCTGTACACGTTCAATTCTATCCATGTCAATCTTGTCTAAATATACAAGTAACCCATAAACGCTGTTACAAAAGTTAAAATGGCTGAGTACTAGCAATATTTTAAGTTTGACAGGGAGGACATATCGATGAGCATATAGAACTTTTAGAGAAGCATAAGCTTTCTGGATACATTTATTAATATGAAGCTTAAACCTTAGATATGAGTCAAATCTACTCCCAAATTTCTCACAGTGGCAAAACAAGGTATAGATTCACTTTTTATTTTGACATGAAAAGTGGGCTCAATATTGTCTTTCAATCTGCCAAATAACATCAGTTGTGATTTGCTTGCATTAATCTATAGACCATGATTTTCCGAAAATACAACTAATCTTTCAATATCTCGATTAATAATGGCCCGTGCATCACGTTTCTCGTTAGGATTGAAAGAAAAATAAAGCTGAGTATCGTCAGCATACAAATGTATCTGACAACTTCGGAGACATTGGGAGAGGTTTGAGGTATAAATACAGAGATCCCAAAATGGAGCCTTGTGGAATACCCAATGGGATGACATCTTTGGAGGACATACCTTTATCTGTTTCTACATATTGTGTTCTGTTAGTTAAATAGTGGCACATAAGCGTGCTAGCAGTTTCGGAAAACCCTATATAGTGTAAAATACCAAACAGCATTTCGTGATTTAGTTTATCAAATTCCTTGTCGCCAAGAGCACGAGATCGGTGGTTTTTCCGGAATCTGTTGCTTTGAAGATGTCGTCAGTTATATTTAACAGTGCAGTTTCGCAGCTGAATCCTTTCCTAAATCCCGATTGATGGTCTGGTAAGAAATTGTTCTCAGTTAAATAATCTCTTATTTGTTGGTCCAATATAATCTCCATTAGTTTTGATAGCACTGGTGAAATACTTATGGAGCGAAGATAATTGTAGTCGCTAATTTCAGACTTCTTTGATACTGGTATAATTTTGGCAATTTTACATGAGTCTGTAAATTCTATATCTAAAATACAGGAGTTTATTATATTTGTAATACAGGGGATGATATTATGGGAACACAATAAGATCATTTCAACATTTAGACCATCAGCACCTATGGCAAGCGATTTAATTCTGAGTTGCTGACTGTTTGGTCCATTCTATATGGATGCAAATCGATAGTTATCGTTTTCTTACGCTGTTGGTAATTCATGTGTGGTCTAACCAGCAATACTCTTACCAAGAAAGGAGTAGTAAGTAGGACAGTGGAATTTTGGGTAACATTTTCAAATGTGTAGTGTCGACCCGCAGAAAAATATTCTACCGTCAGTTCCTATACAATTTCACAATATCGCCGAATATGTCACCCTCATAGCGCATCAGTGGAATATCTTTTCATTTTCCAGAATCGAATATTTGGAACCTCTTAAAAAAACAACTCATTTCATTATATATTAGCACGCCTCTGTTTTTATATTCCCATTCGACAGAACAAATCTTAAGCACCGCTAGCTAATCTGAATCTATGAGTGCACGGC